ACACATATATATACATATATACACACACACACACACACACACATATATATAAATATATATATATATATATTTGTGCGTGTGTATGTATGTATACAAACTCATAAATTGAAGTGACAGGCTTGGAAGCAGGCAACCTGAATTGAATTCATCCAAAAAATAGTAAGCAGCCTTGGCCAGGTGATACTATGTGAAATCCTAGTCATCAGCTACACAATGTGTTGTATATTAAATATCATCTCTAATATGAATGGTCATAAGGCTGATGCCAAGGATTTTGAAATATCTTGTGAACAGTAAGACAATAAATACCTTTTTATTTAAAAAAAGGAGTATTATCAATGTAGCTCAGAGGAAATGAAGTGATTAAACTGGGATTAGGAAACATATGGTCCTGCAGATAGTAGACAACATCTCTAATTCTGTTCTACCAGAGCAGCAATCAACAACAAAAAGGAAAAATAATGCTATATGAAACCTAATTTTAGACACACTATGAACTGTAAGATGGAGATAAAATTTTAAAGGATGAATTACACATACATCAAATAATTATTCTTAATCACAATTATTTCTTCAGATTGATAATAGATGGCAATTTAGAATCTTACCAACTAAAACTAAAAAGATGCTGTATGGCAGTTTTGTCCAATTTGGTATTTTCTAAGTGCACAGGATCAACTCCCATAAACATAACTGCAATTGTTATCCTGGTTTGTGGCCATAATGAGAATTTGATTTTATTTACTACAATTAAGAAGGCTGCCTAGCCTTGTTTATTAGACTTATTATAATGTCATCTATTGATGAGCTCTATTGAGCTATCTCAATAGCTTATGACAAAATATATCAAAATTAAATCAGAGACATTAAGAACAACTAGAAACAGATAAATGTGTATTCAAATGGACATATTTTAGGTAGCATTGTAGAAAGGAAGATAAAAGACTGGATCCTTAAACACAGTGGAGAAAAAGAGCCAGGGTGGTTACAGGGAAAGTGCAATTCAAACTTAATGCAAGAGGAGCCGACACCTTTACACAAATCTTAGATAATATCAATAAATTGAGACGGAACTATACTGTGTTGAAACCAGTTATTCCTTTGGTAGCCTAGACCTAAGCCAAATTGGGCTTTCAAATGTACTAAGAAGTACATTATACTTCAGTGGGAAGAAGCTACAATGCTTTTAGTACAAATAAAACTGGGGACTTCTTTAAAAACTTCCAGAGGCCATCTTAGTTTCCAAATTCTGCAGCATTTGGACTAGACAAATAACTTAGTACAGAAATCATCAAGAGTGGAGGTCACCAGTGCATATACCAGAAAATTAAGATCATTTTTTTCCAGTAAGGGACCCAGAATTTATTTATTTATTAGAGAAAGTGGTCTAGAAGCATCTCCCCTCCATCAAATAATTGCTCCTTCTGAGACAGTGTGGCTCCATACAGAGGTCTATTCTCTTTCTGGAATTGCAAATCATTACAATAAGAAATTCATTCTTGTCTGGGTTCATTTTCAACTTACCAAGGGCAGGCAGACATTCAGTAGGACACACCATTACTTGAAGATGATATGGAGAAACAGATTTGCATGCCATCAACATAATGACAACACCCAGCTCCACATCATCTGCTGCTCTCTTAAGACTTTCAAGAAAATATTGAAAACATCGGAGACAAAATAGAGCCCCAAAGGACAACATGGGTTGGTGTCTGTTTCAGGGAGCAACTATTTCCAAGTAACATTGCCAGAAATCTACTAGGAAAGAAAAAGTGTCTCCTATGCCCAGAAGGATATCATGATCAATTGTTTCAAAAGTAGCCGAGAGGTTGAGCACAATGATCAGAGTAACTCCCCATGTCAGTCCCCAAAGATCATTCATCAGACTGAGCAAGTCAGTTTCAACCTCATTAGGTTGAGCCTATTTGAAATACAGTAGCTCAAGATGATTTGCTGCATCCAGGACGACCTGTTCTTAAACCACCACTCTCTTATTCAACTATAATTGCCCACCTCCAAAAGATCCAGCGTAGGCTTCTTTGGAAGTGGTCTAATAATGGTCTCCTGTCAACCCCACAGGAAAGCTATGATTACTTTTATTGAGATTGGTTTGTTTTGTACTTCAGCCATGTTTTTCCATGTTCGTTGCTATGGTAATGGAACTAGTCTATCTCTGTCAAGGTCATCTCCCTTATTCTCTGTACTTTTACCTCATATTATAAGTTTCTCTGTTAAGGCTTCTTCTAGTAACTTTCAAGCTACACATTACAAGCCAAATACCGTAGAGCCAGGATCCATAAGACAAGTGATGGAATGTACTACTCTAAACAGCCTGCCATGTCATCCAGTGCCATAAATTGACATCGATCCAGTTACCAAACAATCCCATAATTGATTCCGCATCAATAGCAGTCCCTGGTTTAGGCTGAATACAAGAGATTTTATTCACAGAATATCATTACAGGTTGTGTATTACATCACAATAAACTCTTGAGGGTTTTGCAATTTAACTCCTGGGGGAGGAGAAGGAAGCATCATTACACAAAACAATTCAGCAGCCCATGAATTGTTCAAGAAGAAGAAAAAAACCTTTCAGTTGTGGAATCCAGTACACCCAATAGGCTTTTCAGGCACATTGAAATAAAAAATAAAACATCAGTGAATAGGGATGATTTAATTCTGCCTCTAAATCTGCATCAGCAATGCTCTGGGAAAGTCTGTTCAATATTTACTCTATTTAACAAAATGAACTTGAGTTTTTAAATAGGGCCTCGGGGAATTTATACTTCTATTTCAAAAGCTTCAGTATTTGGGAGAAAGTTTGTGGGGGGATTTCACTGTAGAGACTCAATCAGGCAAAAAATACGTTATTAGCATTTTTATATCTGTTAAGGTAGTTCCTGGTTCTGCTGGATACATTTAAGAGCATTCCATTATTTAAGGACATTCCAAATTATAAATCTACACATAATCCTTGGCTTACAATCATCCACTTAGTGACTATTGAAGTCACTAAAAAAGTGATGTATGACCAGTTTTCACACTTATGATTGTTGCAGCATCCTCATAATCATATGATCAAAATTTGGGTGCTGGGCAACTGGCATGTATTTATGACAATCACACCATCCCAGAGTCATGTGATTGCCATTTGTTACCTTTCCAGCTGGCTTCCAACAAGCAAAGTCAATGAGGGAAGCATGATTCACTTAACAATTGCAGTGATTCCCTTAAGAACTGTAGCAAAAAAGTTTCTTTTGAGGTGCAACTCAACAATTGCCTTGGTTAACAACAGAAATTTGGGGCTCAATTGTGGTTATAAGTCAAGGATTACCTGTATGTTTCAAACCAGAGGCCCTAGCTTTTTTGATATCAGGGACCAGTTTCAGGGAAAACAATTTTTCCACAGACCAGCAGTGGTGGGAAGGGTTGGAGGGGGTCACTTTGTGCACTACCTATATCCCATGTATGCGCAGGTGAAATTTTGATCACTTGTGCAGCCCAGTTCCAAGGACCAGGAGTCCTGTTCTAAACAGCTTCCAGTACCATTACTTGAAAGTAAAATCTAGATTCTCCATCATAACAGAAACCTAGGCATAGGTTTATAACAACAAATCTATCTAATTGGTAAAACCCAAAATCAAAGTTTCATTATTTTCTACCTCAAGCACAAAGTCCAGAAGTGGTTTCCAAGTTCTGGATCACATTCATGTAATTTCAAGAAAAAGAAAGGAAGGTCTGGAGAAGAAATAACTAAAATAAATTTCAAGAAAATTAATAATCAGCCTTAAGGTCCTGGAAATTTTTTTGTCTGATACGATTATTTTAATACATTCTCTACCTTTTCTATTTTTAATGCAAAAGGATATGTCTAACATAGTATTTGATCCTTCTATTTTTTTTCCAAAAGAGATTGCCCCTAAAAGATAATATCATGGAGAAAAAGAGACTATGGAAAGAGATTAGATTTCTTTGAAAAAAATATGATTCAAACTGGCAGTGATTCTTTGTTCAGATCTTATGAAACCATGGTACAGTCGAGATGAGACCCTCAGAATACAACCTTCTCTGTAATTCTTCACTGAGTGTGTGTGTGTGTATGTGTGTGCGTGAGGGGGGAAATAGGTTTTGAATTCCTCAAAAACACATTATTTGTAAAAGGGATGTGGGACGAAGAAGCAATTCACCTAACCCCATCTCTCTCTGAGAATTCTACATCTACTGATATCTGTAATTTCTCAATTTAGGGACTTGCATTCAGTGAACTTTGCACATAACAACATTTGACCTTGGACTTTATTTCCAAATATTTCCAATTCAGTTTGACCAATAGCTGCTTTGAAAGGTGCTCATTCTATGTATTTGTAAAGATTATGGTGTGAACTAAGAAACCAGGTCAGATATTCAGAAAACAAAAGAGACTCTGAAAACATATGTGTTGTAGTACAATATAAATGCTACTAATAAAACAATAGCATCTGAAGCAAAAAAAGAATGAAAATGGCCTAGGACACATTCTTATGTAGAATACTTCCAGTAATGGTCAAAAAGGATCAATGTACATAGAGTGAAACTCAGATCAGTAGCTAATACAAGAATAAGCTGCATTTTAGAGTCAATTATGGACAGTTGTGGTGATTCCTAAACAGCATAGAATAGACAACTTTTGGATAAATTTTGAGTGTGCTAGCAGAAGGGATTCACTGCCTTCATGAAGATAGCATTAAGTTCCTAAGTGAGTCAACGATTTTTATATAACAAGTGATTCCAAGTAAATGTTCTTTCTGAGCAATTATTTAAACTTAATTTTAAATCTGTTTGTCACATCTGAATCACCACAAACCAATTACCTTTCCAAGATGTTCTAGACAATTTGTCTGCTCTGTCATTCCATGTTTCAACATACAAGCTGTACTGTACAAATAAAGGTTGCTATATATAATATGCCCATTTCATTCTACAGATGGTTTGAATCTGGGTATGAATTTAAACATACTCACATGGTGCATAGAACATCACTAATACAGAAGAATGTTCCTTGATAAACTTGTCAAAATCATCATCTGTTAGGTGAAAAACAGCATTTTCCTCTTCTGACCAAGGAGTCTCAGGAGCCTGTGGCTTAGGTGGCTGAGGACTATAAAAAGACAGAGTAGCCCATGTTCAGAAGGTACTACTAATAGTAATAGCACTTACATACTTCTCCATAGTGTTTTACAGCATTCTCTGAGCAGTTCACAATGTCAGCATATTGTCCCCAACAATTTGGATCCTCATTTTACCAACCTTGGAAGGATGCAAGGCTGAGTCAAGCTTGAGCCAGTCAGAATCAAACTCCAGACTGTGGGCAGAGTTAGCACTTTAACCCCATTGCATTGTCAGGGCTCTTAGATGATAAAGAGCAGCTGTCTGGATCATAATTCACCTGATTATGTAAATGCTAACATGTAATGCAGTAATTTGATACAAGTCTCTGTTCAAGGAGGGTAATCATTAAATACACATTTAAAAAAAGGATGAGAGGGGTGGAGAGGCACCTGGCACAGAAATTTTGTAAGAATAACAATGGTAATTATGGACTACATACAAAAAGCTTAAAGATGGAACAAGAGACATGCCTTATTAATTTCCTCCTTAACTTCTATAAATAATCTGTTGCAATCTGACAATGAAACATAATGTAAAAATACCATCCAATAAAAAGTTGCTAATGAATGCAAACCATAAAGTGTGTTAACACTATAAACTGCATAATTCTTTTTGATACAACACTGCTGAAAATAGTCATTTTTTTACAGAAGACAAATAACAACAGACACTTAGCAAGTTGGGAGGTGAAAAGTGAGAAGTATTTGGCTTATATCCAGAAATGAAAGTAAAGAACTGAACACGCTCTGCAAGGCAATCAATACATCAACAGTTTGTACTGGTGTATACAGTTTATATAGTACCACAATCTAGAACTGGTTGTCTAGTGGAATGAAGTATTTTTCATTTATGTCTCTATTTTACTTAGCAGCTTTTCATTTGTCACAACTGAAGTTTATGAAGAAATTTAACTGTTCATAAAATTGTCTTTAAGAACAAGGTCAAATTCTTTATGAGAGTTTTCAAATATAGAACAAAGTGACTTAGAACCTATCATTAACTCTTTCTAATCAACTCCTTAAATCATGGGTGTCAAACTCGTGGAGTCATGTTGCTGTCACGTGACGTTTTGCAACATTTTCCCCTTTGCGGAGCTGGGGTGGGCGTGGCCTGAGCATGACGCATCCGGTCCACAGGCCGCCAGTTTGACACCCCTGCCTTAAATGCATATCCATATTTGGGAAATGGTTTAAGACTAGAATCTGTCCTTTTCCATTAGTTATTTTGAAGACTATCTGATCTCATGCCAGGTATCCAGTTACTATTCCAGATAAGAAAGGAATTATGACATCGAGAAGCAAGGAGCAAGACCGGTACACACCAACACCTCTCTCACCTCTACAGCTTCGAGTGCAGTCTATCTCACCCCTCTGCCTGTCTTCCCAGGACGTTCTATTCCTCCCTTAGCTTCTGCTGCCAATATTCCAGCATGGCATATCCCACCTGCTTGTCTGCCCACCTTTCCAGCACTCCCCCCCGGCTCCCTCTGCTGCCACAGTCACAGCAAAGCATATCCCACCAACCTGCTGACCCCTTCACCTGTATAGGTGACTTTCTGCTGCCTTCTGCTCTTCTTCTTTCTATTTGTATTCTTCTATTCTATTCTTATTAGCAGCTATAAAAGCTCCTTGCAAGTATGTGTGTGCTCAGTCTGAAACAGGACACTTAAGTAACAGGAGTTGTTTATTCTTGTCACTCTTTTTAATGTGGTTTCTTATTTCCATATAGGGCAAACATACATCAAAATGTTCTATTATACCTTTCCAGCATTTTTGAATGACTGTTGTAGGACACTTGGACCATTCATACTAAAAAAACATATTTGAGTTATTACTTATTACTGTGCATATGTGCCAGGCTTACACTACAAACAATTTACAACACCAACTGTAATTATTGTTAGGTTTCTACTAAAGCATAGTTTCTCAATATGACTTTCTCCCCACCTCCCCTATTGATTTCTTTTGGAGAGAGGGGGGAAAAGCTGCAGCATCATTTTTTTCTTGTGGGAAACTATTAAACACGCATTGAAAATTAATTGTGAACAAACAGCTGCCTTTAACTCTAGGTGGCTGAAATGTCAGCTAAAGCCCAGAGTGGCTTGTTAGCAGACATTATCATTGGAAATAGTCTGCAGCTGTTTTTGCTTTGCATTCAGTAACTGCATCCAGTAGCTGTCACAGCACTGATATAAAAGTATTGAATATTACCGGGATTAGGAAACTATAAAGTGGGCAAACTGAAATGAAGGGAGGGGGGGAAATAACTCTAGATGTTTCTTGAAATGGTTCACATGTGGTTGCCAAGTGATAAGGACCTCCTTGCTCAGGCAAAAGGAGGTGTTGAAGGTGATGAAGGCATGCATCATTATTCAGGGAAGGGGAAAAAAAATCTCTCTGCATTCATTGGTCATGCTTCCTTAAAAGACCAAAGAGGCTTTAACACTAAGGACATTTTTGCCTCTTTGATCTGCACAGCAGGTGCTGAATGTGCTTAATGTTTGACACTGTAAGAAGCTGCAGCCTAAATGTGCTGTGATGCCTCTTCTGACACAAACACCCCCCTCTCTGACACAGAATCAGAAAGTAGTGAGAGCAAACCAGGGACCTTGGAACACACAATTCCCAAAGAAGCATATTTTAAATAAGCTTCCAGATCTGCCATTATTAGCGCTTCTTTTTAACTGCATTACATGGAATTAAGAGAAACACAGCTGTGCTCCTTAATAGCTATGCCTAAGAAAGATATAAGGTGGCAGACGTAAAGGCAATTGTTTGATAGCTAACAAAGAACAGTACTCTCTAGATCAGGGGTGTCAAACGCAGGCCATGTCCACCTCAGCTCCGCGAATGGGGAAAAAACATTGCTAAATATCACGTGATGGCAATGTGACACTGCAAGTTTGACACCCGTGCTCTAGATTAAAGATAGCTGTTGTCCTCATTTAGTGACCAACATGTTGACTGTTAAGCAAAGTGATCCCTAAGTGAAACTGCAACTGGGCTTAATATTTTATTTCAATTTTCCTTTGCTTTTCTGAACCGTGATGTTTGTAAATGCAAGGATTGACTGTAAGATTACTTTTTCTTCATTGTCATAACTGCAAATGGTCACTAAATGAGGACTACTTGGTTTACCTTTTCCAGAATAACCTGAGCAAGTTTGTTATAAACTACATATAGGTTCCATTTGAAACATGCTAACGAAAATTGGCAAATACTGACTAATGTTGATCTTAAGTTAGTTGAGTTGAATGTAATGAAGTATAAGTAGTTTTCAACTTACAACCAGCCCCAAATTTCTGTTGTTAAGTGAACTTTGCCCCATTTTATGACCTTTCTTGCCACAAGTGAATAACTGCAGTTTTTAAGTTAGTAACACGGTTGTTAAATGAGTCTAGTTTCCCCATTGACTTTGCTTGTCAATCATAAAAGGGGCAAATCAAATAGTCCTCATTTAACTGTCATAAGTATGAGTCAGTTGCCAAGTGTTTGAATTTTGATTACTTGGCCATGAGGATGCTGCAATGGTTATAAGTGTGAAAAACAATCGTAAGTCACTTGTTCTCATCACCACTGTAGTTTTGAACAGATACTACAAGGACTATTGTTAAGTCAAGGACTAACTGCACAACTAAAATCGACAGGCTTAACATACACCTCTCCCCCTTATGTGAAAAATAATAATGTGAAAGCCTGGATTCATGACAGCTATGATTCATAATCAAGGGTGTTTGCAGAGGGGAAAGGGGATGAAAAAAAAAGAGGTCAATGTGGCAACCATGACCACATGATCAAAACCCGCCTTCTGTACAAAGGAGCAGGGCTTCAGTCATGTGGTCAATTTAAGTACATCTGCAGCCACTGTGGACATGGAGATGAATATGAGTCTATCTAATAACAAGCATGGCACATGAAAGGTTGTATTTTGGAATCCAAGATAGGAAAAAGAACAAAGAACATGAATTAACAAGTGAAATGAAACAGAAGGAAAAAAAAAATACAAGTCTTGTGAAACTAAGAAAAAGGAGGAATGGTGTAATAAATCTGGACCAAAATCATCAGCTCTTGTACAATGGAGTTGAGTTGATGAACGTCTGCCCAGAAATGAAAGTGTACAGGTAGTTTTGGACAAATGCAGGTATATATGAGTGACAGTTACAAGAGTGACGAGAGGTTCTGAATGGGACAAAACATTTGTGGATAGAATTAACAGTGAAATTTGAGAAAAATGCACATGAAAGAAAAAGAAGAAAAGTTAAAGGAATGGGAGTTATGAAAGAAATAGGGGTTAAAGTAGATTGACTGAACAAAAAAAGAAAAAAGAAAATCCGAGCCTTGTATAAAAAAGAAGATAAAATTCACAACAGAATGCCTGGAAAGGGGTCTTAAGGAAGAAAGAAATAGAGCTGCTTGAAAGAGAGTAAAAAGAATTATAGTGCATAGTACATTACATTTAATAGAAAATATGAAATAGGATATTTGGTGGATTGATATAAAGCAAGAGGCTGTGGATGAAGAAAAACGCATATAAGAATGCAATAAAAATGAATCTGAAAGATATTGTGCAAAAGAAAAGATAATTATAAAAATATAGCTAAAGAGAGCAATGGATTGTTAAAATTAAAGTGGCAGGGATGTAAAAAGCAGTTTTGATAGATTTTTTTAAAAATGTTTTGGAAGTGGGTGAGCAGCTCTCAACAGGGAGCCCTGCTGAATAGCAAAAGAAATTAACAGTAACAGTGATGAGATAATTTGGGCTGACACTAAAGTAAGGAAATGCTGGAGTATTTTATTGATCTAAATGTGAACGATAGCAGTATAAACAGTGGTATTGACATTAATGCTACTAAAATTAGTCTCCTAGAAAAAATGATGAAAAAGAAACCATAAACGCAATTGAAATGTTGAAAAACTCCTGGCATAAAGTGTGATTGCAGAATAGCAATAGCAATAGCACTTTTGAGCCTGGTGAGAATTGAACTGCCGAATTGCTAGCTGAAGTGCAGCTGGCACTCAGCAGAAGTAGCCTGCAGTACTGCATTCTCTAACCACTGCGCCACACGGCTCTTTAGAAATACTAAAAACAGATGTGACTCATTCATGGAGTGGCTGTGTGACTTGGTTAACATGTATGTGAAAACTGTACACGTGTCTGACAACTGGAAGGATGTCATTATTCTTAATATTTTTAAAGAGAAGGATAGCAAGGTGGAGTTTGTTAAACATGAACAGGAAGCTGTGGCAGAACCAAGTTACTGCTCTTTAGCAGATCACTGAGAAATATATAAATATGAGAATTTTTATTTGTGTATGATAAACACAAATGAACAAACTTGAATTATAGAATACTTTGGGTTACTACAGAATTGAACGTTGATTGTGAATGTGATGAATGGTTTTTTTAAAAAATGTGTGATTTATCTGTTGTATCAATTCTAGCATGCATAAGAATTAATGGGTTGACTGAAGATAAACAGGGAATAAAGGAAAGATGTTCCCTTGGTTCTTAATTTGTGGCCAGGTTAGTTCGGTATTTGTTAAGGAAGTGAATGAATAAGTACTTTTGTATGCAGATAGTGTCATGTTGTTTGCTGAGAATCCAAATGATTTGCCGAGAGGCCTCAAGGACTATATATCTGAAGTTTGAGAGAACAATTGTTACACAGAAAGCAGAAAAGTCGATGAATTTCTATTTCTTGATAGAAAATATAACACAGATGGGAAAATGGATGAAGGAATATTCAGGTGCCAAAATGTTGACAAAAATGCAGAGAAAATGAACAAGGATCAAACTGCAAAACAAATAAATGAAGGAAAAGTGAAGTGAAAAAGTCTGAAAGAGTCATGTTTAGATGGAATTGATGAAATCCTGAAAAAGAGAGAGAAGGGAGAAGTATAAAGAATAAAGGGCAATGTATGGAGTGGTGGACAGATATGGTAGAAACAAGGACGCTATGCAGGGACAGAAAGGAATGAAGAAGTATAACAAATGGTGTTTATGTAAACAGATTTTATTGATGCTTCCTTTCTTTTTTCTTATTTTACACCTTCAGTGTCTTTGACTTTATATTTCTTATTCCTTTTTCTGTCTCTGCATAATATTGTATAATCCAAACAGGAATCACTGATATGTATGCATCCAATATGGGAAGAATAAAAAGCAATGCAAACTACCAATCCATCATGACATTATTGTCCAATTTGAATTGGATGTGTCCAAGTATGTTTCAGTCCAGCTGTGAATTAGCAGAGATACACGACTTAAGATGAGATTTACTGTCTTTTCCAGTTCAGCCCATACTGCCAAATGTTTAATTCTGGTGTGACATTTATCATCTTTTGACAGCTATTATTAGGGTAACTCACATAACAGATGCAAACCCCCATTATTCTCAAAGAAACTTTAAGCACTCACTTAAAATAACCTTGCTTTCCCCCAATGGTAAATCATCACAAACTCATGTTCTCCTAACACAATATATCAGTCTAAATCCTTAAAGCAATACACTGTCTCAATTTGCTTTCAGAACAAATAATGGCCTCACAAGTCTGGCAGAAGACCAAATACATGAATATATTTGAATCATTTCTGGATTCCACACGGCTCAAATATCATACTAAAAAAAACAAATTTTATTAGCAGTATCATGGCATAGAGATACCAGCACCATTAACACGGGCAAATAATTGGTATATAACTTTCTATGAGACCCTTGCATATTTTCCTGTATCTCCACTTTGTAATTTTTCAACCTATGATGTGCTTCCTCTAAGATGCTTTGGGCAATGAATATATTCATGATTGTATCATTTTATTCCTTGTCAAATGCCTAAGATGCATTATTGGCTCTGAAAAGAAGGAATGTATTACAAGAATTCAAGACTAATCTAACAGATCTGAGGGTAGAAATGTCACTGTTTCTCTGTGATGGTTATTGCATGTACATCATTAAGTTTGCCCACTGCTGCCCCCATGAGCCAAAGAAACATGCAGAGGTGGTCAGAACTGTTGGACAATATATCCTAACTGAGATACAAAGGAGAGACTGACAAAAAGTATTTTTTATACAAGTAAAGCTTAAGTGAAATCAATACTCAGTAAAAGATAATGAGTTGTAATTAACACATGCAAAATAAAAAGCATGACAAATGAAAGTGAGAGCTCAAGATTACCTTTAACTCATTAACTCATAACTGCATTGTTATCTATTCTTTGGATTTCCCCCCAAATGCTCATCAAAAAATATCATTCTCAAAGATGGAGGTATCAACTTTAAAAACTCACTTTTGCAGCCATTCTCCAATGTCCTTTGCTGTAGCACCATAGTTTTCAAAATTAAATAGGAATTTCCCCTTTCTGTAAAAGCAGTGAAACAGAGAGGAGTTGGGATACAAGAATAAATATAGATATGCAATTATATGCAATACTTATGTGCAGATTAAGTAGAGACTGACTCAAAGTAGCATATTGTTGGGTATCCCCGGACATTGTATTCTTCTTTTATTTTTTCGAATTCAGATGAGTAGACATTCATCCCTGCAAGTACCTGCAATGACAGAATCAAAATATCCTTACTTCAATCAGCTTTCCCAAAATTTGAAAACCCAACATTAATTGCAAGAAAATAATATTTTAAAATAATATTTGCTAGCAACTCCCACCCAAAAATCAAGGGAATCATCCCATTTACATATCCTCTAATTCATTCCTTTATGGGCTTATACAATTTCAATAAAATTTTAGCTATTTTTACATGCTGCGACTTGCTGTTATATTTATGAAGAAAAATGAATTGTGACCTCATAGCACATAATTGTAGAATCTGTGCTCCCTGAAAGTTACAATGCTCAGTAGCTCCAAACAGAGTTTTTGTGATAAAGGCAGCTGGGAGTTGTAGTTCAGTAACATCTGGAGATCATTCCCTATTCCACCACTTAATATGGTAGCAAACATGCAAAGATGTAGGAAAACTGTCTAAACAATAAAGTATGCTACTGCATGCATAACTTGGAGATCAATTTAAAATAGACATCACACAATTAGTATTTCAACTCTTTTTTATTCTTGCCATAGTGTCAGTGCTAGCAATTAATCATCAATTCCTGGGCAAATTATTATTTTAAAAGTCTGTTAAATGTCATTCTGTTAATATATTCCTTTCTATCAATCTTAGTCATGTAAGTAAGTCTTAAGTTTACTGTGGTGTTAAGGACATAACAGAGAACATTTAATAAGTCCTACTGATGATACTGCAATTATACAGTAAAAGCCTTCTTTGATAGCAATTTCCTAATGGTGTAAGTATTTGCCACAGCTGCTATTATGACTAACACATTCAGATTCTATAACTGTGTGAAAGGCTTCTGAGAACAGTGGTTGATGGTTGGAGATGACCAGGGAAAACTGAAATCATATCATAAAGCTTTGTGATAGCTTCCTAACAACAAATCACAACCATTTAGCCTAAGCTATTTTACAAGATTGCTACAAAGATAATAGGGGAGAATTCCATGCATATCATCCTGGATTAAATTAGTAGCATGAATAGTAAAATATATATTGTTATAATCTTGACTACATGTGGATTGTGAAAATCTCTTAATCTTCTGAATATTTCTCTAAACATATGAGATAACCATGACCCTGGAAGAAGAAAAAAAACTGTTGCAGAAAGTTAAATTTGCAATTTCTCTTTTAGATCTATTTTTTTCTCTCAATTAGGTTGTTGTTTCTCCTTTGGCAAGTAAAGCTTTTGGGCAAGGTAAATATGTTACAAACAAGCTAGAACAGGATAGTGTGGCCAGATTATATAATACATTTGCAAATTAATTTGCAAAAGCTAGATAAACCAAAGGGAGTAGAAACAATCTATTTTAACTTCATAGATGAAGAGAAACAGCTCCTACCAAATCCCAGACAAGCACATTATTTGCACACAATTCTACTAATTTTGTGGATATGACAAATGTTCAGGAAATATAGATGAAAATGTAACGTAGACTGCATGAGAATGTTACATTTCCAGATAAGAATACCTTAAAAACATCTCAAGCAAGTGAAAATAACTTAGCATTCATATTTGTTGGAAATTGTATCACTAGGATATCTTTGGGACTTCAATAACAGCCATACTAGTCAGCCGCTCAGGTACAAGGCAGTTTTTAATTTTTTTAAAAAAGGAGTAGATTCAAAAATTTTCTCTTCACTCCTTGGCACTAGCAAAACTAAAAAGAGGCTCTTAGATCCCAAATTTCTAAGTTGAGATCTTCTCCGTGAAATAATATCTTTCTGCTCCTCCAAAGCCCCAAGCACTTTTAAATGAAACTATAATGAGGACAGGACTGCTTCTCTCTGATCCAAGTAGTCTTGCGGCTTTATCCCATAGTGGCTAGTTGCTGAAGATACAACTGAAAGATTAACTTCTGATTAATACCCATGAAGACTTAAATCCCTTTAGCAGCATGGAATTAATCTATCTCCCCTACTTGTCCCTCATCCAAGAATAGGATTTTCTCTTTCCACATAAATGCAGCAGAATTTAATGCCAGTTTCCCAAATGAAGGAACTGCTGAGGCCAAATGTGCTCAGAGCTGGTATGAAATGTTAAAGTAGATCATCCGAAGAAGAAGGTCAGCTGATACCCAGGAACCTTAAAGAGCACAGATAAGTCTTTTCTTTATTGACTATTCCAGATGTTCAACACCTACTTTAAACAATGTCAAATAGATTAATAGGAAAACTCCTACATCCACCATTTCCATCTCATTGTTACAAGACCCTGGAAAATTATTTTCACATTTTCTTTCTTTCTTTCTTTCTTTCTTTCTTTCTTTCTTTCTTTCTTT